TTGCGACATCGAGTTTTTGAGACTTAAGCATGCTTTGTTCACACTTTGTGTTGTGCATCTTTTCATTTAAGAAAGCAAACATTGTTAATGATACCAAAAGCTTCTCCCTTTTTCATTTACTAACAAAAAGTACATGACAACTAAATTTGAAGAAAAATAAAGGAAAAGAAACAAACCTAGTCCATATTAAAACCATTTAACATATCACAAAAAATGTTCATTTCCTATGGCTGCACGAATTGTAGCTACTGAATTTGTCATGGCACCAGAAATCTCAATGGGGTCAGACTGTGAAAGGGCCTTGTGCATTTCCACAGTCGCTATATGCTTTGACAGCAACACTGTCCTTGTGAAGTTTTATTATTCTACATTTAACTTCCTTTTCCACCTGAATTCACCAAAAAAAATCGCCGAACTCTTTCTCTACACTCCATTACGCTTACCAATTTTTTATGCTTGAGAAAATGTAGAAGGTTGAGGCCTCTGTCTTTTTTCATCCCCTCTCCCCCCGGCACACCAAATTTTTTATGCTTGAGAGAATGTAGAAGGTCCCCCCCCCGGCATACCAAAATTTCACCATAGACGTCGTTGATGCTTAATGACCCTTGGAGATCGCCATCTTTAGAGACTCAATTTCGAGTTCAAAATTATTGCATCAGAAGTACCATTGCATCCCTTGGGTGTATAGGGCCTCGGGATTGTTGCACTCTATGCACCGTTCCAAGAACTGTATACTTCTTCATGTCTCATCCATGAAGTCAGCTGAACGAACTTTTCAAATCTCCAAATGCTGATGTGTTCAAAGATGCGGTCATGTTATGCGAGTTGGTTGAACTTCTTGCACACTAGTTTTGCTGAATATAGGGAACGAAATGAGCGGGAAGCAACCTTGGTGAGTATTTCCAGAAGAAGCTCATATGAAAGAGATTGTATGAAAGTTGAGGTCGTTGTGCCTTTCTTCATTGTTCGGCAATTGGATGAGGTGGTTTGTGTTTAGACAAGCACGAATAAATACACCACCTCTCCTGCAACCCAAAAGTCATTCGTGCACAATTTCGTAATTAATTATCACAATTTCTTAATTATGCCTATTTTTTAAAGCTTCTTGTTTGTGTATACACAATAAAAAAAACTGGATGAGATGGTTGAGAGTTTACAACCCAACCATACATGCACAATAACCAAACGTCATCACTCTTAATTCAAACAACCCTGGAGAACCTAACCACACACCAAACCTATGGGACCTGTCATTGACTATTATTTGTACTTTGTGGGTTCGTTTAGGTACCGTTTGGCACGTGGGACGGGACGGAATGAAATGGGACGAGGCGTTTCGTCCCACGTTTAGTGCTCTTAAAACAGGTGGAACGCGCTGTTCCACGGGATGAATTTTGGGTGAATTTTCGTTCTGCCTCACCCCCTGGAACGACTCGTTCCACATCCGTAAAACACAAAATTATAACCTCTCCATCTCCTTCTTCTTCCTCCTTGTTTCCATCCGAAGGCATCTTTACTCCCTCTCAATTCCTTCCCGTCCCGTCCCATTTCGTCCCATCCCATTCTGTTTCTTCCTGTCCCATCTGCATACCAAACGATACCTAGGAGACATGAAGCTATCGTGTGCATATATTGTGCATTTCATGTGCATGAAATGTGCATTTGCTTTGCATGTCAGTCATTCATGCACAATATCCACATAAAATAATAAAAAATAGACAAACATTGATGAGTGGGAAAAAGTGGCGGCAAATTAGATCAATGACATGAAAATGATGACACCTTGGGCTATTTTTTGTAATTATGTTTAGTTTTTAAAGCTTGTTGTTTGTGTATCTGTACAAAGTAAAATTTTAAAAGTACATAGAAATATGAATTTAGTAATACATGAGAGACAACAAAATTAAACGTTGGAATTTAAACGTTGTGATTACAACAAAATTAAACGAACAAAAAACAAACTTAGTACCTATCTTTACCACATAATATATCACAAAATATATTCACTTCCTGATGCCATCTACAAGCATTACATGTAGTGAATTTTTTATAGTCACATGCATCCCAATGCGTTCGGAGTGTGACAGGACCCTGAGGACTTCCACAGTCGTTACAAGATTTAATGGCAGCGTTGTTGTGGTGCGGTTTTAGGATTCGGGACCCTTACTTCCATATGCGCCCAAAAACCTGACACAACCGAAACTTCTCTCGGCATTCCATTACACTCAACCATCCCGAGTTGTGACAGTTGAGAGAATAGAGAAGGTTGAGCCCTTTGTGCTTGGAATCCCACCCGTGGCACACCAAGATCGTATTGTACACGGACATTGCTACTTGATGGCCCACAGTGATTGCACTTTTAAGCCGCTAAATTCTAGATTCTTCCTTGTTGTCTCGGAAGAAGTATTGCATCCCCACCATGTAAAGAGCCTCAGGGTTGCGGCATTGGATGTAGTATTTGATGATTGTTGAGGCTTTGTTAGACGTGCCCCATGATCTAAGTAGGTTGACAGTCTCAAAGTGTATAATATAGATGTGTGGGTAAATGCAGCGGTCTTCAGCTATTTCCTTGAACTTCTTCTAGATCATATTCGCCAAAAAGGTCATTTAACGAGTGGGAAGCAACGATGATGAGAATTTTGAGAAGAATGTCATAAAAAACAGATTGCATAGATGAAGAGGTGGTGTGGCATTTCTTCATCATTTTCAACTTTTGGTTTTCTTTTTTAGGAAAGCTAATGAAAATGCTTGAAAACTTTGAATTTTAACGATAAGGACAAAACAAAGGGGTAAAATGAATAGTACCATGATTGACTTTTTAGTGTAAAAATGTGATTTTTCGTTAAAGTGAACAGTACCGAGGGCTTTTCATTAAAGTTTCCTTTTTTTTTTTTGGAAGATGGAAATTGAACTTGTGGTTTGTAATAAAACACAAACAACTTAAATAGATGGAGAATAAGGGTCATTCAAACGGTGCAACTTCCAATCACAAAAAAGGTCATTCAAACAGTACAACTTTCCATGATAAAAAGTTAACTTCTTATGTAATAATTAAAAAACAAAATCAACCAATACCATTACAGAAGTAAATTAAAGATAACCTCCCTCCGTATACAATGCATGCACACTAAATCCACATACTATGCACACGCTAAGCACACTAAATGATCTCATATGGTCATGATATGCATATTGCAAGCTGCGTCTTGAATATTGAAAACACATAAACTTGAATTGGAAAAATTAACATTTTCCAAAACCCTCTTAGGTCAAATTAAGTCCCCAAACAAAACATAAATTAAAACCCACTACTTTTGTGATATATTATTATTAAACATTGAGAAATTTATGAGTTGGCATGAGGAAAAAGCACATCTTACACATATTGAATGCAATGCACACCTCAAGTAGGTTAGGACAAGACATGAGGGTCATGTACACCACATTTACACTGCATCTGCCTTGTCTTGTCAATTTGCTAACTAATTTGCCAACCAATCCATTTAGAAACAAAGCATGGAAGGCAAAATTTGCTATCCAATTTGCACTTTATTGTTTGGGATTTCACTACTATGAGGATGGTGCATTTTCGAAGATATGAAACCCTAAAATAATGTGTTAAGTCTCATCCCTTTTGGCGCCCAGTCTTGAAGAGAATCCTAAGGCTAACATGCTAATGCCGACTAGGTTTACAATAATGTGTGGGAAATTTTTTATTTTTGACGGGGTACAATACTGGGTGTGTTCCAATTTGTGTTTTAGTTTAATTGCAGAAATTTCACAAAATTTTCCCAATGTGTGCATACAACATGCATATGTTGTGCAAATTACGTACATATGGTGTGCATGTCTTGCACATGGTATATTATGTGCATAAGATATTAAAAGGTGATATGCATATTATGTACATTTGATATGCATTATGTGTGCTTGGTATGTGCATGTTATGGTCATATAACAAGGATACATAGTACATGTGTTTATTATCATAAAATACTTAGCTAATACATTGCACAGCAATAAAATGTCATATAACCCATTATGGTTAACGCGGTTCCTTTCCCTTCCCTAGTCGACGAGAATCCTCAAGCCTTTGTTGCGTTCCTCCTCTATTTCGACCTTTCCTTCTCGAGAACGCTCGTACGACTCAATATGGCCTAGACGATTCTGGAACAATTTAGAATTTAGGAATGTGATCCTTTCTCCAGACATGTCAACCTTCGTTTTCTGCTTACTTGCATGGTAAAATGCTTCGTTGGCTTCATCGTTGAGGTCCACAAGCTCTTTTTCTGCCTTCATTAGCTTGTGATTCCAATACTCGGTGATGCCCGTCTCATAGTCGAGTCTCCCGCATACCTAATCTATACTTTTCAGCGATGTCTCCAAGTTGACGTAGGATTTGCATTTGGCAACCTCGGAATTGGAGGAGGTTCTATGCTGTACCACCCATGGAACTCCTCGTTAAAGCCCTTAGTTTCATGTGGAAACTTGGACATGTTTGTGTTCTCAATTGTTTTGGCTATTTAAGAAGTCTAATTTTTTTATGAGGGTTAATGGTTATTGCAACTATGTGTGAGAATCATATTTATACATAAATCTACCATGATGAGGATGAAATCAGTTGAGTAAAAGAGGGAATGTGTTGAAGTGTGTTACCAAATCTCAAACTTCCTACATCATGCCATGCATGGGTTGATCTAGGCATATCTAACTATTTTGTACTGGTAGGGACTATACATTTAATTTCAACAAGACATGAGTTCGAAACTTGGAGGTTTTTACATCTTTTTTTTTCTTTCTTCTTCTTCTTCTAAACTCGTTGTTATGGTTTTAACTCATCGTCTGAAGGACCTTTTGAAACCTAGAATCCAACACCTTGTATATACTAATAATAATATACAAGCATAAGGCAAATCATATAGCGATGGCAAATGTGCATGTCATGTGCATATCGTGTACAATTTCTTTTATATTGAACTAATACTTGTAATTCACAAACATTTTCAGACAAACACCCATTCCAGATTCACAAAAATTTGCAAGTTCATAACAAAATTAACAAATATTGAGCATTCTGTAACAAATCCTCCAAGCTAAATCCACAAACACGACTCCATGAATCTTCAATACCCTAAACAAAAATTAAAATGCAAAACTCTTAAGATTGAAACCCAAAAATCTAAAATAACAAAACATATCAACAAATAAAGGTCTCCAGAACACATTTCGAGCCCTTTCTTCCCCATCCGTCTTTTGTTCGACTACCCACCTTTGCAAATCCAAAAACCTAATTAAACAAACAAATAATTAGTTACAAAAATGGAGACAATGATCAAGTTAAAGTGAGAAAGAGATGAGAGAGAGAGAGAGAGAGAGAGAGAGAGAGAGAGAGAGAGAGAGAGAGAGAGAGAGAGAGAGAGAGAGAGAAACCTGATGGCGGCATAAATATGGATGTTGAAGCTTTACTGGCTGGAAAGAATGGAACTTTCTAGCCAAAAGAAAAAATTTGGTACAAAAATCATATCTTTAATGATGAAATATTGATGCAAACGAGAAACCCTCACTTCAAAGCTTCACTTTCGACTTCTCTCTCTTGAAAGTCGAAGCTTAGATATTTGAGCTCAACCTAGAAACCTAGAGCTCACAGAGCTCTCTCAGCATCATATCTTCCAAATGACAAAAATGATGAAATAAGCTAAGGGTTTTTAGTATTTATATGCGGGCATTTTAGTAATTTCGGTTTTGTGCATGGTGTGCATGGATTGTACATGACCAGTTTGTCATATTTCTGTCCTAATATTAAGAAATGTCTCATTTTGGGGTATTTCCCTTAATTAAATGTCCATCACACTCACTGCGCACTCTACTCTCGCTTTTATTTTTATACCCTTACTCTAATTTATTCGTACTTTTGACACATCACTTACATATCCTGGCTTTGTCATATTTCATGTGTCAACCAGCATGCCTCAATTTCGAGTGTTTACCAGGACACTGGGTCGGGATGTGTCACACGTAGTAGGTGGTTAATTATTCTTCCTTTACTTTTGAATTTTTTATTAAAAAATATGTAATTAGATCTAAGACATAACTAAAACTTACATTTTAAATTAAAAAAAGACCAATTGGCAAGAGGGTAGTGTTTTCGTGTGCTTGCCAACTATATAAATTTACCTTGCAAATTTTGTCAATGACATCATTTATCTCTCATACAATTCGGCTTGGGTTAAGATTAAGCTAATAGTTGAATTGAAATTGAGAATGGAAAATGAATGCCGAACATAAATAAATAACATATTAATTCATATCTTAATCGGTTCGATACTTAGTGGTTTTTTTCTTCTTTCGGTTTTCAGTTTTCTGAGCCCCCCTAACAACGTTAGCACGTAGTGGCGGACCGACAATTTTGTCCATGTGGGGCCTGAATTTATTTTACCAAGTAAGCAAGCACAAATTTTGTACCCAAATTTGAGTTGAATTCACCAAATTTTAATGAAACTTGAATTTCCTATTTTAATCTTATACAAAATAGACAGACATTAAACCCAAAATCTGATTTCATAAGTAACCCACCCATACTTGTGCCTAATCCTTACTCCCAAGTTCCTCAAAAAGTCCTAGCCATAGTTCAATTTTACTCCCTTTACATGTTTCATGATACATTTGTAAAAAAGAAACAAGATTTCAATGACAAATGGATGATCAAGTCATTATTTGGCAATCTTCAAGTGAGATATAGCATGATTTTTTTTATTTTCTATTTTTCATTAAGAATTAGAATAAAGAAGTATGGTATCCCATTTGTTAGCCCAATATGGTTATATTATTAGAACACAAAATTAAAAGAAAGATGACTGGCCTAAAAATATCTCCAACAACAGCCATTGGGTCGATTAGAAACGAAGAAAAGCTTTAACAATACCGATATCTTCTACAAACACCTAGCCCAATACAACTACTTTATGGGAAGATTTGATTGTGTATCCCAAATCCCATTTTCTTAGCCTATCAGTTAGTTATCATAATTACATAATTGTTAAGGACTAAAATCAATCTTAACTGTATTCCAAGACACAAAATATAAGATTGATTCAGAGGAAATAAAAAAACAAAATTCAACATCTCAAATATTACATTCCTATTACTTTGTAAACCACTCATGGTTGATTTATTTTGGAATAAATCAAATATTCTCCCACTCGATCTACAAATGTAATGTTCATACTAAACCATTTTGATCCTCAATTGAATTAGATTTTCGTGTCTTGCGGAGTAAACATGCTTCTATAATTTCGAAGCCCAACAAGATGTAGTGGCATCATTGGTCCGTTCAGGGAGCTTGTTCCAATATGAGCCATTGAGTCCATGATAGGACTTCTAAGGTATTCATATTCTGATCCACCTTACTCCAGTCCAATAAAATTCATGATCACACAAATGCCCCTAAATATACTTTGGAAAGTGCATTTTCCTTGAAGGTGACATGCTCTCACAATCCCTATGATGATGATCCTAGTTCGGGTTTCACGAGTTGCTTCGAGCTCCGAGATCTGATCTCTTCATTCCATTAGTCTTGATCTGGTGGTCCAAAGTCTATGGTCCCGCCATATATGATATGCTGTTTTTTAAAACATGTCTGATTATAAATTAGTATCAAACTCGTTACTATTGTACATTTGTACTTAATTAGCATGTCTTTAAATTAGGGAGCAACTCGGGAAGAAAAAACAAAGTTTGGGGATCAAAATGAAACAACCGCTGAAACTCACCGGGGCGCATGTGGAATTACACAGAAAAGAGAAACAAAAACCGAAGTTTTATTGCATACCCTACTTCTCACCGGGTCGAACCAGAGGCAGCTGAAACCGTTTGCTACACCGCCAAATTTCCTAAACCTCCTAAACCTCCACCAAAACACCGCGATTGAATCGAACCCAGTTTCGAAAAGAAGAAGAAAAAAATGATATCAGCAATTTCGTGGGTGCCCAAAGGGGTTTCGAAGCCGGTTCCCTCCGTCGCCGACCCGCCCACCAAAGAGGAAATCGAAGAGCTGATTAAAACCGGCGCCTTGGAGAAAAGGTGAAACTTCTTCGCCTCGTTTCTCATTTTTCATTTTGTATGTCTTTGTTTTTGCTGTCGTAGAGTGCTGTACTGGTTGCGGGAACATGGATTTTCCTTTAGCTGCCATTGTTGCGGAGCTCTCAACTTATTGATGTTTGGTGGTAGTTCAAATTTTGTGTCAAAGATGTTCACTTTCTTTGAAATGAATAATTGGGTAATTTTTTAAGGTGGGTAATTTTTTTTCTCCGAAAAGTGAAAAACTTGGTGGAGGGTTGGCCGGTTTATTTCTTGAACCAAGTGGGAAAGAGTTGAATTTCCGGGGTAGTGTATGTGTAATGTGGTTTGTGAATTGCGATATGAAGCTTTAGGCGGTTCGGGTGTTGATTTTCGACTCACCGACTTGTATGGTTTTGATGGGTTATTGATTTTGCAGTGGAGATGCTGAAAGTGAGGACTATGATGGAGAAATGGATGTTGAAACCCCCAAGCAGGGTGATCAAGTCTCCCAAGCATTAGAGGTGGCAAAAGCACTCGGAAGAGCTCCTAAAGTTACCGAGCCAGGGGCCAAGTTTGATGACATAGCCGATGGATTGAGGGAACTCAACATGGAACATTATGACGACGAGGATGATGGTATTCCCCTTTGTTCTTTATTTTCTTGAAATCATTTTCGGAGCATAAGAGGGGGTTAGTTACAATGTTGCTTAAGCTGGAGATGTTGGATGGGCAATCAAACGGTTGCTCAGAGTTAAACTTGATAGTGGTTTTTTTTTGGTCAATAAACTTGAAGTCTTGTGAGACCTGTAAAATTTTCTTTTTCTTTAGTTTACAGTTAGATGGTTTTGTTAGTGCATATGGTTTTACCATGTCAATAAAATGGAGGTATTATGCAATGTTGAACTTGAAGCATTGTTGAAGTTACTGACTAGTAATTTGATTAAGTTTTGTTAGTACATATCAATCCCAAGTTGGGGAAGGAGGAACCTTGCATGTGCTTATAAGTAACTCCCCATATTGCTAATGGGTTCTATGGTGGAACCTCAACTTTCTTCATGGTATTGGAGCAAGTTCCTGCGTGTAAAGCACAGTGGCCACACGTGCTCCATGTCACCCGATCTGCGTTGTCCACATGTTAGGGAAAGGAGGGACCTTGCATGTGCTTATAAGTAATTGAGCTACTTCTGATATTGCCAATTGGTTTTATGGTGGAACCTCAACTATCTTCAATTAAAATGGATGTATTATGCAATGTTGAACTTGAAGCATTGATGAAGTTACTGACTAGTAATTTGATTAAGTTTACCATATGCTTCTTCTCATGAGTGTTGATTAGGATGTATAGCTAACCGTGCATCTTCGTATGTCTAATCTCAGGCATTGACGTGTTTAGTAGTGGGGTTGGGGACCTTTACTACCCAAGTAACGATATGGATCCATATCTAAAGAAGGAAAAGGATGATGTAAGTTTTTTACTACGTAAATTATGCCATTATTTTTGTTTTCTTTCCTTCTTTTGTGAGGTTAGGAGAGCAACTTGGTTTTTCATTCTCATTTTTATTTCCTCAAAGGACGAGGATTCTGAAGACAGTGATGACATGACAATTAATCCAAGTGATGCAGTCATAGTTTGCGCCCGCAATGAGGATGAAGTCAGCCAGCTTGAGGCATGTAATAGTTTTTTAAATTATTTGATTCCTTTTTCTTGTCTGTTTTCCACTGATCGTAATTGAATTATGTACGAGCAGATATGGCTGTATGTTGAATCAGAAGATGGTGAAGCAGATGTTTTTGTTCACCATGACGTCATCCTTTCATCATTTCCCCTTTGCACAGCATGGCTTGATTGTCCTCTCAAAGGTGGAGACAAAGGTGCGATTCATGTGCTACGCATGCATTTTGTTTGAAACTTCTGGAGGTTACTCATGTACCTGAACTATATTTATAGTTAGAATTTCTTATGTTTTCAGAAATTTTGTAATATCTTCTTCTAATAAAGTTCTGTTTTCACTGTTTATTTCTTTGATAGCGAGTACAAACTTGTTTAAATTAGATTTATTCTGCTCTAATTTCTGTAACCGTGAGCTCTTTTTTATGGTGACGTTTAATGACGATTATCTTATGCATTATGAATAGTTGTTTTCCTTGATATCAGTTGCATTTTTATCACAATTTAGATATTTTTTCATGTGTTACGTGTGCATTTTGTTTGAAACATCTGGAGGTTACTCATATACGTGAATTATATTTATAGTTAGAATCTGTTTTTAGAATAATTGTAATATCTTCTTCTAATAAAGTTCTTTTTCACTGTTTTTTTCTTTGATGGCATGTACAATCTTGTTAAAATTAGATTTATTCCGCTCAAAATTTCTGTTACCATGAGCTCCCTCTTATGGTGAAGTTTAATGACGATTATCTTATGCATTGTGAATAGTTGTTTTCCTTGATATCAATTGCAATTTTTATCTAATTTTTTTTTCAAATTTCAGTTTTGGCTTTGCTTTACCTTTATATTTAATTGATGTCTAAATGTTTTCTATGTTGACAGGGAACTTCGTTGCTGTTGGTTTAATGGATGAACCTTCCATTGAGATATGGGATCTTGACATTGTATGTAGTTCATGGATACTAGTCTCATTGTATAGGTTTATGTGGGTAATTGATGTTAATGTTATTGTAATTTCTAACATTTTTTGCTGTTTTCAGATTGATGAAGTGCAACCATGCGTGATATTGGGTGGTATTGCTGAGAAGAAAAAAAAGAAAGGAAAGAAGGTTCGATGCTCAATTCTTTCACTGTTTGGGCTTTTGATAATCGTGCAACTCTTTTTAACTTTCTTTACCAATTCCGAAACTTCCTTTGTATTAGGTATCAATCAAATACAAAGAAGACAGTCACAGAGATTCAGTTCTCGGGCTTGCTTGGAATAAGGAGTACAGGTTTGTACTCTTCTAGAGTTTTGTACTACCTGTTGTTGCTTCAGTGGAAGGTTCATAAACTTATCTTGTCTTTTCCTATAAACAGAAATATACTTGCTAGTGCAAGTGCTGACAAACAAGTTAAGATTTGGGATGTGGCTACCGGAAAATGTAATATTACCATGGAGCACCATACAGACAAGGCAAGAATTTAGACAGGATTGATTTTCTATGCTCTAACCTGAAATCAAATTTTCAATGGCATGCTATAGAACAAATGCAATCCTGAGATCTTCATTTTAAGGAGTTACTTTTCCTTTCAAATTTTTTCATTAACCATCTTCATACTATTTTTACAGGTTCAGGCAGTTGCATGGAATCATTTTGCCCCGCAAGTTCTTCTCAGTGGTTCTTTTGATCATACAGTAGTCTTGGTATTTAATGTTTTACAAATGTTACTCTGTTGGCATTTATTTGTTATCCTAGAAACTTAAGCGATTGTAAGAAACTTATTTGTTTGAAAATTTATTTGACTTGTGCATTTACAATTGTTATTCATTCCAGAAAGATGGGAGGGTGCCATCACATTCTGGGTATAAGTGGACAGTCACAGCTGATGTAGAAAGCTTAGCATGGGATCCACACACTGAGCATTCATTTGTGGTGTGTGCCTTGGCTCTTAAGACAGTCTTTTTTCGTACTTATCACAAAGCGTTTGCTTTTTGTTTATCCCCTTTCGTGTTATTTGTTAATATGTGGAAACAGTTGCTCTCTGGCTAAATGAGAATTATCGTTTATTGATCATTACATTTTGTAAATCCATCCAGGTGAGCCTAGAAGATGGCACAATCAAAGGGTTTGATATTCGGGCTGCCACATCTGCTCCTACTTCCGAGTCTAAACCGAGTTTTACTCTTCATGCTCATGACAAAGCTGTTTGCTCAATCTCATATAACCCTGCAGCACCTAATGTACAGTCCTCTTTTTCTTCTCAATTTGGCGTACTTTTTTGTATCGCCAAGTTATGTGTAATCTCACCTTTGTGCCTTCTTTTTTTTTGTGTCCCAGCTTCTTGCAACTGGATCCACAGATAAAATGGTATGAAGTGTTTCTCACTACCTGCACACTGGCATACCTGGCAGATTGGAATGTTTTGTAATGTATCCACTACCATTTGTTACAGGTAAAGCTTTGGGATTTGTCAAACAACCAACCTTCATGCATTTCATCCAGGAATCCTAAAGCAGTAAGTGATTGATCATAGTTCATCATTTTAATGCAACAAGTTATTCTTCTGTTTCTTCTGTTTAATGCGAGATTGATTGTTGGACTCTGCTCTGAATGTTGTCAGGGAGCTGTCTTTTCTATTTCGTTTGCGGAAGATAACCCTTTTTTGCTGGCCATAGGAGGCTCAAAAGGGAAACTGGAAGTGAGCTGTCTTTCTGTATCTTGTTTATCGTTGCACTTTTTGAAAGGTGGCTTTTCAATGGTGTATCACGACTGCTAATGTAATGGCTGAATTTGCAGGTATGGGATACATCATATGATGCTGCGGTTGCCCAAAGATTTGGGAGTTACTACAAGAAGAGCAGAACCCAAGCTGGACCTTCATCTGGTTAAACCAGAAGACGATAGAGGAGTAATTTTCTCCCCTTTCTAAACTTTAGAGCTTCTTCTAGGGACAAGTAGCATTGCCTTGTAGAGGTCTTGCAGTTTTGGAATACCCCATCACAGCCTTGGGCGTATGATCGGCGTAAGCAGAGGTGGTTTTGTTTACTGGATGAATGTTATGTTAAAAGGGAATATGAATTTTTGAAGTTATATGTTAGAAAGTTTCAAATTCAATCTTCCTTGTCTGATGAAACTAGTTATACTCTTGGTCTACACGAAATTCGTAATTTTGAGTGGGTTTGGCAACCCATTTTTCTTCTTTTGCGTACTTCTCTTTATGTTTTTTCCCCCTAGATTATCCTTTGATCTATTCAACTCAAATGCTAAAAATATAAAAATACAAGCAAGTAAAGGGGTGTCTGGAAAATCTCTTCCATTTCGAGTGGTTTGGTTGACATTTTTGCACCCAAACTAGTTATACTTATTGAAGGAGATCAATGTGTTTCTTTAAATTAGCACCAAATCACGCCTCTCTGATACATATTACAACAAAAGCACATTACACACAACACCCGCATTGAAGAAGCTAAATAAAAACCTGTACAGAGCGAGCATCGTTCAGGTCGCATAATAATACGACATCATGTTAAACATGGACCCCTACCCTCTGAGCCACCTGCATCAGCAGCACAAAACTAATTAGTTTACGCAAAGTCAATTACGTGCAATTTTTGGGTGATTAGAAAAGATACGCATAAAATACATGTAGAGACTAAATTATACAGCATAACACCCTTGCCTAAAAATTTCCTTTGCATAAAAAGACTTATGACGGGGACGTACCTCCTTGAAGGAGTGAACATCACTTCCCCAAAGCCAAGCATCACAGCCTGCATCTCTAGCACCCCATATATCATTCCTACGATCATCACCTACGTGCACAGCATCCTCAGGTTTTACTCCCAATAACTCACAAGCTTTAAGAAATATTGTTGGATTTGGCTTCTCTGCTTCAACCTGTTCATATGAAATATTCATAGCATCAGCAATGACCCAACGATACCAACAACAGAGCTATTTTGTCATCAGACCAACGGATTATGTGGAGAACAAAAAAACATTTTTTTTTTTAAATCTTTTTGTATGTACATATACAAATATGGAATTCTCAAAAATCCCATTTAGCTTTTGCGTTCCCTTTTTGTGTCAGTCGGAGGGTGGGAGTTAACAAGGACAGTATCACCTTCTTTTGTAATTACTGCAAAATAAAGACTAATTTTGTTGGACTCAACTTCTTAGTTTCTGAACGATGGATAATATGGACAACCAATCACCTAATTCAAGAACCATGCTTACTGCAGAAGATTCTAGAATTTGCGCCTGTGTGTGTATGCGTGAGAGAGAGAGAGAGAGAGAGAGAGAGAGAGAGAGAGAGAGAGAGAGAGAGAGAGAGAGAGACATGCATACTGCAGAAAGATACTAAGCAATTCACTTACTTCAGCTGACACTGCTATTGCATCAAACCATTGTTCACAATGTAGAGCATGTAAAACAGGTCTTAATCGGGTATCAAAATTTGACACAACAGCTACTTTGACACCTGCTTTCCTCAGAGCTTTAAACACTCTCTCAGCATCAGGATCACAGAGGTGCCAAGCCTATGAGAAAACACAGAAGTATATTATAAACCCACTTCACGCCTATATATTGCAACACAGAAAATGGTACTTAAAAATTACCCAACCTTGTCAGTCGTATAGTAGTTATAAAGCTCTTCAAAGTACTGAGAATCTGAGCAGCCAGTGGAAGAACTGACTATATATTGCCAGAAGGGTCTCCCATCATTTACATATCTACAACGCAAAGAGGAAACACACACTTTAAAGATAAAAGAGAAAATCAGAGAATTCACTCCAAACATGGCAGGCTTACTGCTAAACTTCTGTATTTAATGAATGAGATTAAAGGGGACACTGAAAAGAAACAGAAAGAAAGGATTCACTTCTACTTAACCAACCCCATTGAAAACACAATGGCTAGACGGGGGAAAGCTCTATGCTAAACTTTAGGGGACTGTCAATATATTTCCCAAAATACAATAAGAAGCCACAAGACCATTAGATTGTTAGATCTTTTCCAGTCAATACTCGGTTATGAAAAAAGAAGTGAGTTGATTGCATGCAGCATCAAATCTCTACCGATAAACTTTAGAACACAGAGGCTATGAATTAGCTTCCTAGCCAGCTTCCAAAATGCCAATTAATAGCTATTACAGGCAAAAATTGATGTAAACATTTTCAATCCCATAAAATGCCAACGAATACAAAACTAAAGACATAAAACTTACAGTTAAAACGATAGCAAATGGATTAGCAAAAACCATATGTACCCCAGTATACAAGGGGAAATGGAAACATTGAAAATGAAGATGGGAAGAGACCTGAGACGAGATCTTCCCCAAGGCTGCTCGTAAGCTCGTCTGTATCTGTTTAAAATCTCGGCCTCTGAGTACTCCACTCCATATTTCTCGCCTATCTTCCTATATATCTATGCAAACAGAAAGAAAAAAAATTCAATATATCAGCAGTCATAGAGACAGATAATCACGCAAGAAATAAAGAAATCCTAAAACCTGCAAAAAAGCTACAAACGGCAACCAAAATGTAATTTTAAAAGGAAAATTCCCAGGAATCCAATTCTATCACAAAAAACTCAGAAACTCAATACATGCGTAAATAATCAATATCTATTATCTATAAATATACTCCCACGATTGAAATATGCACAAGAAGTTCCTGGATTTTTATCATTTATGTATGAACATAACCCAAAACACCAAAACGGAAAATGAAAGAAAGAAAAAATAAGAAAGGACACAAGATCCAAGAACTTCTATGCAGTTACACACAAACCCAGAAACCCAAAAGTTCAATTCATATACATACAAACCCAGAAACCTAAAGGTTCATTACAATTTACATGCATAGATAGAAAAATTGAGAAATGAAAATGTGGGTGTGCATGTAAAGCGTTAGAGAGAGAGAGAAAGAGAGAGGACCTGAGCCATTGGTTGGGAAGGAACAACAAGGGTACCAACAGCATCAACAAGCAAAGCCTTGTGAGTGATTTCACCATACAAAGACCTCCTATAATCTTCGTAATCTTTCACACCCAATATCTCCAACCCCATGTGCGGTGGCCTCGACCCAATGATCCCGGACTCTGGCTGCTGCGCCACCGCAGAGGTGGAATACGGCGACGTCAACCCGGCTCCACCGCCCCGGTCAACCCGAACCGGTCGCTTGAGGCCATTGGAGCAAGACCCAGATCCCAAAATTGGTGCTTTTGTTGTGAGGAGCCTAAAGAAGTTTGTTCTGGTTGCCATTAACGCCATTGCTGAAGCTTCATTTGAGGGTGTCTCCTCCTGCGCACTTGGTTTTGTATGTTGGGATTTCAGCTTTTCTTTTGGGTCTGACTCAGCTCTGACATCCTTCATATGCGGAGTCTTTTACTTATTTATAGGGCCAAGGAGTGGCTTTCTTCTTTTACCAGCAGAGCTTCCATCTTTTATTTATTTATTTATAATTTTAAATACGATTTTCTTTCTTATCTATGAATATTGTATTTTTACTCAAAATACGTCAACACATTAACTTCCATGTTGACATAAAGTCCCTATCCTAAGTCCTCACTAGGCCTAAATTTTTGCCGGAATTGAAAATACATGTTTCAAATTCCAATCCAAAAAGTTAAAAAAAAATAAGTATCAATTTTGAGAAATATTCAAATACATTTCAATTCCTATCTAATTCAGTTCAGGTTTTTTTTTTTCGAATTTAAAATTTTTGATTTCTAATTTGAATTTAGTGAAATATTTTAAAACTTTTTAATTCAAAATCAGTCATAATCAAGTATTTCCATCCAAAGTTTCACCCGTAGTGAGCATGCATATACTTGTATCGACAAGCATACGATGACAACATATGAGTAGGATTATTATAAAAATATACTTCATTTAGTCACTATCTTTTATGAGGGGGTGTGATTCATAATGCCAACACAAAAAATAATTTCAACTTGATAAAGTATAATTAATTTAGTAACTATCAAAAGCAACAACATTCATCATCGTTATTTTCTAAGCACTATTCTAGTGTATATTGTAAAATAGATGAACACATTGCTTGTCTAACTAGAAATATGAGATTTCTCAAATTTAGTCACTGTTCTAAAATCTTCGTCTAGTTCTGCTTAGGCGATAGGTGGTTGGTTATTACCCTGTTTAGTTCGTAGGCTTTTTAAAATCAAGAAAGTGCCCCTAGACTAGTTTAAGCGTCCACCTAGCCCGCCTAGATCGTAACCCTTACTTAGATAAAAAATCGGTAGCTTTCATTTTGCATTTTGTTTTTTCAATAAAATGTAAAAGACTTGTTAAATGTTTGGATGAAACACTCATTATATGTTTGTTCCCCATGTTTTCAATATATTCTAATACTTTATAATTTATATGTCATTTTATTATGCAAGCTATGTGTCTCTCTTATTTATACCATATATAAAAAAATTTATTTAAATCTGCTCAGTTCGCTTAGGCTTCCGCCTAAGCCCCGCCTAGTCACCTAGTCGTCTAGAGTGGTGCTCTCCTAAGGTCCTCATTTTGAGAACCATTGAGGTCCTCTTTCATCTGAGCCATTAAATTGATCTAATGATAAATTAACCAAGAAGCTTAAATTATCTTTGTTATACCATAACAATATATCAAACAGATTAAATAAAGAACAAAAAAAAAAGTTCACGGGTGAATTCCTTCCAGTTGGCAAAGAGGTCTTTCCCCAGATTTCTCACATGTTTCAGATTTCGAACCGCCATTGCCGACGGGTCTAAACGAGCGGCCTTGCAGACATTATCAAAAGCCTTAAGTTTATTGGAGGCAATCCTGTATTTTGCCATCCATTTTGCAGTGAATTCACATCAAACAGTGGCCACCACCACGTTTGTTGTGCCTCTTTGATCTAATTTAAATAGCCAAAAGGATGATTGTGTTGAGTTGATGTGCATCATCCTCTCCTTCTTATAATTGCAAAGCCATTAGGGCACAATTTTGTGGAGCCAAAAATATTCACAAGGCGACACGTGGATTTTTGACAAAAGAAGACAAAACTACCCTTGGGGCATACCAGGATTCATACGCGCAAGTAGCAGACAATTATTGACACATCCCGATCCTATAATCAAGGCGTGCTGGCCGTCACGTGAGCGTGACATAACCAAAAGTGCGATGCGGAAGCAAAAGATAAGAGAAATACGAAGGAATAAAAACCAACTACTAGCAATAATATCCAACTAGCATCCTAGAGTAAGTTTAAGTGTGAAACACACAAATTCAGAGCATTAGTACTAGGTGCAGTCAAGTAGGACCATAACTAAATTACAACACCCGCAGGTGAGTCCTACATTTATGTAGTCTGTCAGTACGCCGTGGGAATCCTCGTGGGCCACCAGCGCTGCTAACCAGAATCTGGAGGGGCGCAAAACAAAATTGAGTGGGTCAGTAAAACCAAAGTTTTTCAAAAACATTTCATTTAAAACATTTTTAACCCCTCGCTGTAAAACTTGTATACTTTCCCAGAAAATAACATAATATGCATATACTTCTTCAAATATCTCAAATTACCAATCTTTATCAAAACCCAGAAAATATGCCATGCCATAAATGTCAATAACAGATTAAGAACACATCAATATAACAGGTGACATAATGAATCAACCGGAGACCCTGCAGTTGGTCATGTACGGTTAATTCCATAGCTCAATATCCAAACCAACCGGAGTCACCACGGTGACCTATACGACACTACTCTGCACATAAGTCGGAACTACCTGAAGTAGTCTGTACAACAAGAATGGTGTAATAATACGCTCTAGTGCTTCACTCATCAATCATCTGTGCACATAATCTAAGGTCACCTACCAGTCGGAACCACCTCTAGTGATCTGTACGACTAGCATATCGGAATCCTCTCATGGTCTGTACTACATGCACCTACTTGGATCCAAGGTGAGCGTGCGGTGCGGTGAATATATAAGCACTAACACCAGGGGTGCAGGTTATGAGCTCTCAACATAATTCACATCATCAATGATTCATATAAATAACATAAAACTCACCTGTGCGTCCACAACATCAATTCACATATATATATATATATATATATATATGCATCAATTATCAATTCATATAATTCATAATATGCATGCATGGCATCTTAAAAACATACTTTCTTTTAAATTCAATTTCTGGGAATTTCAGTAGTATATAGGTAATAACAGAAAATAACTGCCCACTCACTGGTAAGTCGAAGGGTCGTAACCCCCGTGACGTCCCTGGATGCGCTCGTCATCGGGATAGGTATCACCTATATGCGAAACAACTATAAAAATGTTAATTAAAGCACATAACCGACAATTTGTAATAACTTCTCATACGGTGCTCAATTTGGATATATGAATGTACCACAGTGACCTACTCGACGTCACGGACGTCGAGGTATTTTTAGAAAAAAAATTTCGAGGCTGCACGCGCCCCTACGGGCCGGGAGGGGCACGGACCTACGTGCTCACGCACATCATCTTCTTCCTCCAGTCGCCGGACTGGTTTTTCCGGTCACCAGAAAACTGGAGATTTTTCAATTGCCTTGTTCTCCGTCATTTCTCAACCATTTTTCACGCATTTTATATCAAAATGAAGCCCCAAGCATGTAGAATCACGATGTACTAGTTTAAGGCTCTAAAAATGACGAAATCTCACCGGAGAAATTCCAAGAAAACCGGCCAACTTCGAACTCAGTGATCCCGACGTCCAAAACTTCAAACTAAGCACTTCGAGCTTCCTTAGGACCTCACTAAGCTCACTGTAAGCTTAGAATTTCCTGAAAATCAACAATTCACGTGTGCATGAACAGTGATTTCAAAATGGGGTTCGGATTTCACGTGATTTCGAAGGTTCTAAGTTCTAAAAATTGCACCATTCGAATCAGGAGGTTGAAAGGATGAAGAACCTCACCTTATTGGCGTCGATCCGTGATGATTCGAGGGTTTTGTTCTTTGTCCGTACAATTCGAAGGGAGAGAGAGTGAACTGAGAAGATGAGAGAGAGAGAGAGAGCACGGGGGAGAGAAAGGCAAGGTGTCCCGTGTGTGTGTGTGGTCCATCCCAAAACAAGTCCAACCTCTTTCCCTAACCACACAAATTGCAAATAATTTTTAATCCATTTCAAATTTTCCAAACTTAGGAAAATATGCATTATTCCATAATATGTCACACACATACCTTAGCATCCGTCAAGGACAATTTCGTCATTTCACAACCTCGATAAATAGAATCTCGGGACGGGTTGTGACAATTATCCCTCAACCAAGTTAAAAGTGTTCAAAATAGGTATTAACTTAAAACCTAATTTATTCATATATTTCCTATTTCATTATTTAGCTAATCAATTAGCTAAATACTATACTTATTCCATAATTCCTAAAACATTCCTTCTAAAATAATGATAAATAGCTAATTAATGGGTTAATTAGCTAATTATTCCCTTAATTAGCATTTAGACCATTCACTTTACCCTAACTCCCACAAAAAGGCCGGCCATCTTTCATCCCCAAAAGAAATCAGCCTTTCTTTCTACCTTTTTTCCTTTGTATGACAAATAATTAGCCAAGTTAATTAGGGAGTTATTGGCTAATTATTTTGTAACTCCTAATAAACCTAAATTAAACCCAAAAAACCCTAGCTAGGCCGGCCACCTCCTATCCCTATAAATATACTCCCATTCTCACCAAAAAGCCAAATCCAACACACTTGCAAAATTCTCAATACTCTCCAAACACTTTTTTCTCTAAATTCTAACTTTGGCATTGGAGGTTCTTCGGCCAAGCCCCCCATTCATCGTGAGCGCGTGAGGCTCTTGGTCTTGACCCTAAGGTGTTAATTGTTTTGTAGGTGCAATTTTGTCCAAGATCAAGGAGGAAAAATTTGCATCCACAAATTTGATTACAAATCTTGAAAGAGAATTCAAATTTTAGGAGGATAACAGCTGGGAAGAAGACGAGACGAATTGTAGGAAGAGATTATTTTTAATTTTTTGTTAATTTAATTCATTTGCCGTATATATTTTGTTAAGGTAAAACAAGAATATGTTAAGCTTAAGTTAATCTATCCTTAGATCAATGTAATGGCTTAGATGAAAGAGGACCTCATAGGTCCTCGTATTGAGAACTTTAGGAGAGCACTTCTATAGTCGTCTAAACACTAAGTCTTAACATGCTGTCTGCTATCTGATTAGGGCCTAGCGCCGTTGATTTTAGTCACTTATTTCTATTTATGATAATTCTTTTTGGAGGGTGATAAAAACTCTTTATTTTGGTTCAATTAAAAACCTTCCAAATCTGGCACACATATACATGACACGTAGATGAGTGTTAGGAGATCATAGAATAGCTGATGTGCGACAGA